ACAATAGCCCGGAGCCGGGTGGTACACACCCAATTAGTGTACACACCCAATTAGTGTACAATTACACAGCTAATTACAGTGTACACCTCCTCTTGTTACAGGGTACTAGTACTACTAACAGGATGTGAGGTGGTTTCTATGGTAACACGTGTGTCAGTACAGTAGTACATTACCAGGATACCACACCTGTACACACTGTTGGGATACGAGCTGCCCTGATACGGGGGGTTAAAAAGGAGGAGGTACAGGAAACTACTGGGGAGGAGATACAAGTAGTAAGAGAGGAGTTAGTAATAGTACCTAACACTTGTACCTAACACACAGAGGAGATATAACAGAGGAGGAGGGGTTGTTACCCTGGAGTTACTGTTAAACAGAACATTAGTAAGATTACCTTGACAGACAGTTAGTTCTACGGTAATTAGCTCACCGAACATCTGGTATCACACTAGTTACCTCTAACCTCTACTGGATTACTAGCCTGTAACGAGTAACGACCCCGTATTATTAACTTAAACAGTTTAACTCCCGCTAATCCTTGTCCTTTTTAAATATTTGAGTGTTCGTTTCCGTGGTTTTTAGCTCCTTTTTCTTTAGGCATATTTAAAAAGGAACTTCAACCCTCCGAATAAAAGCTTGACTTATAAAATTGTATTTACATTTACATAAGTTCTGTTTCTTATCCGTCACGTAATATAAGCCACGTAGTGTGGGTAACGAGCCAATCAGAGGTCTATATTAATAGCTAAACACAGTGCTTCTCAATCTACTAATCTCGTAACCTGGTCCTGACAGATACTTTAACTAGAACTGTAGTGATGTAGAACTGTAATACTACAGTGTATCTAATATACTCTAACTCAAACACCGACACTCCAAATATTCGCAGTAAATCTCCAACAAAAGATTAATGAGATCAGCTGATCGCTTCACCAAGATATCTATTTCCACAGATACACAGCATCTCCCCTTTCTTGCTCTTCAAACTAATGACAGTGTAAAACACACGCAGAGGCACGTGAGGCGGGAGAAGGCGGGGATTGGTGGAGCCTAGAGCAGGGAACACGTGATACCTATATAAGGAAGTTTCACCGCAATAACATGACCATATAAGGACATCACGTGTTAATAGATAGTGGAGTCAGGAGCAGGGACCATGGTGATTGGTGGGAAATTAGATGAGGGAGTTGGAGCTGAAGAAGAGTGGGGAGAAGGGACCACAGATTAGATCAGGATGTGGAGCAATTTCTAGACGCGTGTAATCTGTCGAGTTGTTAATCTCGCTAGCTATTCTTCGACAAATTCTCAAGATTTGCCGATAGAAAGGAGAATTAAAGGTGGGGTGTGTAATCTAGAGATTCAGTCTGAGAAACGTTACAGCATTCTAAAGTTCTAAATATACTCCCAGAGTGAGAAATAAAGTTGAGTTGCTTCCCGAAAGTTACCCGGAACTTGACAATACGGCACTAAATTCACGTCAGTGTCCAAATGATCTTTACACGGGGACCAAGTTTAAAACATCCAACTTGCAAAGCCTTGCAATCGAAAATATTCCAGTATGTGTACAAACGTGGGAGATTTATTATACTGGACGCCTCATCAGAGAACGGTAACGTGAAACATGGGGAATAATAACGCCATGTAAAAATTAAAGATGACCAGGTAAACAACAAGTTTAAATCTTGTAAATATTAAATGTGAGACTAAGTTAATATTACAAGATTGTCATGGTATGAATCACAAGATAATGAGGACATTGTAACCCGCAATGTAACAAAGTTGTAAAACTGTAAAAGCGAGAAAATACGTGAAGACGAGAGGCAGAGCTGCAAAACACAGACAGGCTCAATTAGTACTAATCCCATTAATTGAATCAAGACCAATTATACAACCCAATGGGTGATTCCGGTGCTATCTTAAAATAGAACCTTCCACCAGCAAGCAGGAAGCTCACCTGTTTTAATTGCATTTATCAGGCGATGATTTCTATTTTTATTTTTCAGGGGGGCGAAATTCCGCAAGATGTTAACGCAATACGGCTGGACAATCAACGTTGTAAAGTTATCTAAGACATGTCAAAATACAGTGCCAGTGTAAAGTCATAACTCCAGCACGGTGCTGTCGTTACATTGCAGCCGTGACAGTTGATAAGGAATCAATTAATATTACATGCAGTCAATCAGACCGTGCAGACAGTGCGGCACAAGGAAATAGCAGGCATTGTGATTGGTTTTTATCGGAGTGTCATTATATTATGAAGCAATGACGCAACTGTATTATTAGCTGTGTTACAGTTGTACAATAGGCTGATACTGTCCATAAGATTCTTGGAATTATTTAGTGTCTTCTGGAACATACGTTATAATACCAATTAATATTGGTCGCATTATTCTTGAAAAATTTTACTCAAATCCCGTACAGCCAAGCGTGAGTTGTTAAAATTGCTCTATTTAGGTAGAAAGCATCACGGCTCGGCTCTCAACAAAAATACTTTAAGTGCAAAAATGAAACAAGGCAAATAACTGGTATGAACGAGTAAATGAAAAGTCAAAAGAACGGTGGATGTTTCAGCACCTATTGGCCTTTTGCTTAGAAAGTACTAAGAAAGTAGTAAAAGGACACTAAGTGCTGAAAAGTCGAATACCTTGTTTCATTTTCTCCACTTCAACTGGTTTTGACAAAAGCCATGATGCTCTCAACTAAAAAGTTCAAGAATTTTAATGGTATAAATCTGGACTTACCAGTTAAAAGTTCGAATGTCGACTAAAGATTTCCTAACATTTGTGTGAATATAATATTATTGAGATCATCCAAGAAAATCAGATCATAAGCTTAGCTCTACTGCTTACCTTAGTATCACTAATAATATAAGTTAATAACCACAATATTAACTTACGATAAGAATTAAACATATTTAAAGTCATAATGTCCAAATTTAGTATCCTTTACTTGCGATAAACCACATTCTACATCACGGAATACCAGATAACCAGATCATACACGCGCAACACATAAACCTTCCCAGCTTTTAGTAACCTTAGTAACCACACACAGTAACCTTAGTAATCACACACAGTAACTTAGTAACCACACACGGTAACTTAGTAACCACACACGGTAACTTACAAGCTCCCTCCCAACTGAAGGTAACAGATCAACATATTGATGCACTAGACTCAACGAACCTTGACAACAGACGCAACCCTCTAGACACCACCACTAGTTGAGGAATAGACACACAGCCTGGTTCCATACAGAGAGACCTCATCTAACTGGCTTACTGACTAAGCAGCGTCTGTAACCCGTATTATTATAATGTACTTGTTCTATTGGAGGGAGGGAGAGATGTTACATCGGCTATTATCTATGTGCCGAGTTATTAAGAGGATCTATAAAAGGAGAGAGAGGGAGAAAGTCTCCTATTGGCCGGACTATAACCAACTATTCAGTTATAGTTTACGTAATGCGTACATTAGACAGATTAACGTTGCACATTGTTAAAGTAGCGACGTCTTGAGCAGGGGAGAAGTAAGATACAGTTTGTCCGGGTCTGGCTAATGGTAGTTTTGTAAAGCTACAGATTTGTGAAACTAGCCTATCTGTTGGGGGTAGAGGTAGATAGTGCGATGTTGTTAGAGGTGAATAGTGCGGTTATACAGGGTTATAGCCCGGAAATATTGGATATTAGACGAACTTACAGGCTTACACTATGATAATACACTTTATAGTGTAATGTGTATAATAATGTAGTGTTTATTACAGGACAATAATACACTGTATAGTGTATGATAATGTAGTGTTTAATGTTTATCACAGGATACTGAGTACAAAATATGTCTATTCAGTAAAATGCAGATCGGTATGTCATGGTAAGATAATATATATCATCAGTATAAAACGCTGGTGTTCACTTAAAGTAATTGTAAGATATGACATATATTAGAATACTGGTGTTCACTTAAAGTAATTGTAAGATATGACATATATTAGAATACTGGTGTTCACTTAAAGTAATTGTAAGATATGACATATATTAGAATACTGGTGTTCACTTAAAGTAATTGTAAGATATGACGTATATTAGAATATTGTATCATCTCATTACTACTGGCTTCATGACCTACAGTACAGATTACAGCGCAAGTATTTGCTTATACTCTACACAACTTCATACTTGTCAAAAAGCTTGGAATATCATGCACACTATATATATATATCACTTGATATATCTTAGTACACGGGACGAGTAGCAAATCTGCTTAGGAATCAGTGAATAAGATGTTGGCATCTTAATCTTCTCTTCAGACTGATCATGCCCCCGGAGACTTTTTAAGTTGTTCGTCAACAACAACAAGGTGTGAATATTCAAAACTTTTAACAACTAATATTTATGTTGTTGAATATTATGCTATGAGATGTAGTTGACAAGCACCTACAAATAGGCAGGGTCCTAAAATCGAACGAAAAAAAATTCCAGGGTGAAATGGACTTAACGTCTGAAAAAAAAAAACTGCCAGTCATTACAACAAACCTGTGCAACAAACACAAAAACACATTAAGTAGTCACATTGATTGCGCACAGCGAGGTGCTGGTGTATTTATAGACTGTTCACACCGACAAAGCTAAAGGTAACTCTGACGGACAATTGTAGTCTCATTTATTATTATTTTATTATTAAATAAACAACACATTATCTTTATTTTTACAGAATAGTATTTATAATTCATGTTATTTTTCTATTGTGTAGATTTTAAGTTTTCATCTTCTTTCACCTTAAATTTACGAGAATCACAGTTTCAACGAGGAAATACTGTCAATTACCAGGTGACTATAATATAAAAATTGTTTGGACGAGGCGCGCAGAAAATGGCAAAATTTGCTCATGTTTTCATGTTGCATCGGGGCATGTAAAAAGTTCGGCGTTAGATGCTATATAATCCAATTAAGCTTGATTTGGATATAATATTGTACAAGAAATAAAATGTTGAAAGAAACTCACTGTTAGAATTGTCCACCACGACAGTGTCTGTTTTCTCTTGTTTCTGAACAGGCTCATCAGTAGGTTGCTTTGTGGTTGGTTTGGGCTCGTGCTCCGTTGAAAAAACTACCGGTGGTTCCGTCACCGGACCCTCAATCCCCTCGACACACATCCCCTTCTCATAGGGAAACCTCCCACATTTCCACGAGTTGGGCCAGTCATGGTCTTTTTCTTGCATGGTTGCTAAACATCTGTCCCTCACATTGATACATAGGTCTCTGCAAGGCATGATTTGGTAGCCCATTGCTGTGGCATTGCAGTACGGGGCATATAAGGAACAGAGGAATAGTTTTAGATCCTTGCTACACTCAGTGTCAATGAATCTTTGCAGTAACTGAAGATCGTTAGCAGCAGCTTCCTGGGTGTTTTGACCTATTTCGTTGGGAAACCGGACAGTTGAATAACCAAACTCAGCACATGTTCCAATTGTAAGGGGTTCACATCTTGCATCATCTTGAGCTCCAACAAAACCCAAGCATATACAAAGCAGGAAGGCGAGATACAACATTTTAGCTTTCTAAGGAAAAAGTTAATCAGTATTCAGAGGGTGAAATTGGAGAAAACTTAATTTAAATATTGTAGAGAATGTGACACAACATTAGATAATAGATACTTATGTTCTACTTGTTTCCTGGAACAGAATGATAAGATGTAATGTAATGTCCTGCCTGTGAAAATTGTATGGTCCAAATGCTTCTCCACCAAGACAAGGTTGGTATACATATACGTATATCCCTCAGTTAGGGAAAAATTCAATTTCCATCCCCAAAACATTACTGACCTAGTCGGTTTGCTCTCCAACAAAACTCTAGATCCTACCACACTCACTGCCACAGCAAGAGCAATCCATTCAATTCTCTCGGTGAACAAAAAATATACAGCCTATTATAAGAGCCTAGATTTCCACTCAAATACTGGCAAGTGCATAATGCTATAGGACCTTATAATAAAATTGAACCATACAAACTCGATTTATTTATTTTTCTAAAACTAGCATTATATAACATTTCTAAATTATCCCTACACACTTGTAAATAATTAGAATAGTATAACTTAAATTATTTCAGAATTACAGTTACTATTGTGTACTCAAGAAAGTAATTATCACTTTTGTATCCTTGTATCCTTGTTGTATCCTTGTATCCTATGGGACCAATCATCATTAGCTTCCATACAAGAGGTACCAGTGACTATTATAACTTCGAATGTAATTGTAAAAGCATGTATTGTAGTGGAAGAAAATGGTCATGATATGCTACAATACAATATGAAAGGACACTTCACTGGAGCCAAACAGATCTATTGGTCTGTGGGCTAAATCCACTTTAACTGGGTGGGTAGGAAGATGTGGTGCAGTGGAAACGTCCCAACCAGCTTACAAGAAAACAAAATACATGAAATAATCTGCAGTCAAACAAAAATTTCAATTTTAAGTCATTTATAACAATCAAAATTAGGGTATTTAAACAGTTCAATGCAATATTTAAAGGAACTTAAAAGCCTTATATGCATACTAGTAGTGGTTCAAGACACTCTTAAGTAGTGTAGATATAGTTTGAAGGGGCAAAGGGGTGTGTGTGCTGTTACATTCATACCAAACGGCAACCAAGTAAATATTGAATGTCCATAGACACTGGTCTAGATACGACAGAGTTGCGATTAAGATAGTGTTACACGGAATAGAACTAGCAGAGTGGGGCGTTTTTTGACGATTTTTCAAGGTCCAAGATTTTCAAAATCTAATAAAAAATTGTATAAGACCTATTTCAAAATTCTGGCCCAACATTTTCTTTTAAATGGTCCTTAGAAACATATCCTGAAAGTTTCAGGGTGATCGCTCAAAAAATGTTGGAGAAGTGCTGACCTTTGACTGGCGATAACTTCGGCTAGCAACAATATTTTTATATAGGACCAAAAGCAGCTGATACATATCACTCCCCTCTATCAGAAACAACTATAAAATCAATTTCGAGATAATTTTGATGGAGACCCCGGCCCCCTCTGGCCCCCTCAATAGAGTGACAGCCTACAATAAATCTAAAATTTTATTTAAATGAATCTTGTAATGGACCTAATTCTTCTACAATATTTAACAAAACATAAAGTTTCAATGAAACATTAAGTATTATTTTACATTCCTTTAATCCTAAATAAAATAAGAGCTTAAACCACGAATTAGTTATCTAGAAGTAAACTCAAGGAAATATTCTTTGGTGATTGTATTATTCATTAAACTTTATTTGGTTGTTAGTATTTTTATTATGGCAAGTGGTTGAATTTAGTGAGACAGGGTCAGTTTAGTGAGACAGGGTCAGTTTCTCTATTGTCTTAGAAAAATGTCTACTTTACAGTAGGCAATGCTGAGTGGCAGGAATGAGGGACCAAAAACGCTTGGGACTAACAATGGCCCATTAACAAACCACTTCAGGCATGGCAATGATGTTAGTTATGCTTTATTTGTCTAAAACTGATCCTACTGCACTTCTGATGTTCTATAAAAATAACTTGGATAAAATATTTTCATCTTTATTAGGTATAAAGAATCCATAACACAAAACACACAAACAAAATGTTTCTAATATCATGTATATAAATTACTATAAAACTTGTAAATTTTATAAATCAAAATTTTTGTTTAACTGAGTATAATTTTGTTCTATGAAATGGCATGGGGCTGCTGCAAGTTATATTGTGTTAAGATACTACAGCTTTTGCAAGCTTAAGTAATCTATGCTGGATCGAGAGTTTGAGAATTCAAGTGCAAGGTAACAGCTCTTGCCAAGCCAGTGTAGATGTGAAGTTTATTGGTAAGCATGTAGCAATGTACTGAACTTGGGACTTCATCAGCTTTTTTGTATGCTACGTTTTTATTATTTGCAGCGACGAAGATATTTGTGTCATCAGCAAAATAATAGAACAAATTTAGAGTTCTTTTCAGAGTTTGTAAGGTCGTTTTTGGAAATTAAGAACAGAAGGGGCCTTAGGTAGCACACTTGTGGCACTCCGAAGAGCACAGGTAGATCGAGTATCAGATGTTTCATTGTTCACACACCGACATATTGTTTGCGGTTGGAAAGATAACTTTCCAGGAGTTTGTGTGTCTGTCCTCCGATCCCGTATGTTGAGAAGTATTGAGTAACAGAAAAATTGAACAAACTGGCTATTGTGCAGTATTCCCTGACTTGAGAGAAACCATAAAGCCAGCCATATTGAAATTTACAAATTAGTTTCCTTTAATCTTTATAAATAATAATTGATGAAATATCAGTTTCAAGTTTAAAAATATAAATCTTGAATATGTAAACAAATTTACACTTAAACTGTAAACCATTTCAATACAAGAAAACAACAATTTCAAGAAAACAATAAATTATTAGTTTAACACCTTCATAAATAAAATTGTCAAATATTTCATAAAAACTTCCTGTTCAGGAAGCTTGAAAAAGCGCCGCGCACAGGGATTGGCGAGCCAATTACATTATTAGTTTTTACTATACAGCAAATTCATTTTTGGTCTTTGTAGGTTTATAACCTACCAAGACGCGCGCCGAGTTGAACTTAAATGTTTTACAAGTATCACCCGTTAAGTTTGACAGTTATTTAGAATATATATTCGCGTACAACGTGATATCTTTATCAGTGCAGTGTGTACAACACCAACTACACCGATCAATTGCCAATCTGCGAAACATTTCATTATTATTATCACTTCGAGATGGCCAGGCCTACTCTCATGCTGTCTATATGTGATGATTAATTCTGAAAAACTAGGGACAACTGGGGAATGATCCCAGAACCTCGAGATTTCGCGTCTCTTGCTCTACCAATTGAGCTACTGACCCTGATTCTCAGAGCGAAATCACCACTCATATACAGCACAATTTCATGCTTTGTGTGGAATATCATTTATCAGTTATTTAGAATATATATTCGCATTTATCCACACTATATTTACATTACACGTACAACGTGATATCGTTATCAGTGCAGTGTGTACAACACCAACTACACCGATCAATTGCCAATCTGCGAAACATTTAATTATTATTATCACTTCGAGATGGCCAGGCCTACTCTCATGCTGTTTCGCTCTGAGAATCAGGGTCAGTAGCTCAATTGGTAGAGCAAGAGACGCGAAATCTCGAGGTTCTGGGATCATTCCCCAGTTGTCCCTAGTTTTTCAGAATTAATCATCACATATAGACAGCATGAGAGTAGGCCTGGCCATCTCGAAGTGATAACAATAATTAAATGTTTCGCAGATTGGCAATTGATCGGTGTAGTTGGTGTTGTACACACTGCACTGATAACAATATCACGTTGTACGTGTAATGTAAATATAGTGTGGATAAATGCGAATATATATTCTAAATAACTGATAAATGATATTCCACACAAAGCATGAAATTGTGCTGTATATGAGTGGTGATTTCGCTCTGAGAATCAGGGTCAGTAGCTCAATTGGTAGAGCAAGAGACGCGAAATCTCGAGGTTCTGGGATCATTCCCCAGTTGTCCCTAGTTTTTCAGAATTAATCATCACATATAGACAGCATGAGAGTAGGCCTGGCCATCTCGAAGTGATAATAATAATTAAATGTTTCGCAGATTGGCAATTGATCGGTGTAGTTGGTGTTGTACACACTGCACTGATAACGATATCACGTTGTACGTGTAATGTAAATATAGTGTGGATAAATGCGAATATATATTCTAAATAACTGATAAATGATATTCCATACAAAGCATGAAATTGTGCTGTATATGAGTGGTGATTTCGCTCTGAGAATCAGGGTCAGTAGCTCAATTGGTAGAGCAAGAGACGCGAAATCTCGAGGTTCTGGGATCATTCCCCAGTTGTCCCTAGTTTTTCAGAATTAATCATCACATATAGACAGCATGAGAGTAGGCCTGGCCATCTCGAAGTGATAATAATAATTAAATGTTTCGCAGATTGGCAATTGATCGGTGTAGTTGGTGTTGTACACACTGCACTGATAACGATATCACGTTGTACGTGTAATGTAAATATAGTGTGGATAAATGCGAATATATATTCTAAATAACTGATAAATGATATTCCACACAAAGCATGAAATTGTGCTGTATATGAGTGGTGATTTCGCTCTGAGAATCAGGGTCAGTAGCTCAATTGGTAGAGCAAGAGACGCGAAATCTCGAGGTTCTGGGATCATTCCCCAGTTGTCCCTAGTTTTTCAGAATTAATCATCACATATAGACAGCATGAGAGTAGGCCTGGCCATCTCGAAGTGATAATAATAATTAAATGTTTCGCAGATTGGCAATTGATCGGTGTAGTTGGTGTTGTACACACTGCACTGATAACGATATCACGTTGTACGTGTAATGTAAATATAGTGTGGATAAATGCGAATATATATTCTAAATAACTGATAAATGATATTCCACACAAAGCATGAAATTGTGCTGTATATGAGTGGTGATTTCGCTCTGAGAATCAGGGTCAGTAGCTCAATTGGTAGAGCAAGAGAC